TAAATTGACCGGGAAGCTGCCTCAAGGAGCAGAAAGATAGCCAGAAGTTGGTGTTTTAACAACAGGGTTTGTGATCTGCCAGAATATGAAGAGAAGGGGATATATGAATGTCTTTAGTATTCATGAACCTTGAATGGATGACGCCAAAATGGCTTGTCAAGTGTCAGGACAGAGACCAACAAAAGGCAGCAGATGAGAGATGTAACTATACCATTTGAGAGATATCCCAAGTACTCCACAACATCTCTGAGTCTGTTTTTGTTTAGTCAACAATTGTGCCACAATAAAAAATATTTTGTACCTTCCCAGTGCTGCATATCTTGTGTACATCAAACGGTATCAATGCCAATTAAATTTATTGAAAAGTCAAAACACAGTGAATAATTCTGCAAGAACTGTACTGGGGTTAAGTCCACAGCATGCAGACTGGAGTTACTGCAGTGTCTGATGTTACCATTGCTAGCTGCAATGGTGACATCTTTACAAAATGAAAAGGCATGGTCACTCAGGTCACCTCTTAGTCCCGCCTCCTTGTTCATCAGCAGGCAGAAGAACAACTCAAAGAGGAAATCTCATTCTTCACTCTCAACATGAACTCAGAGCAAGTAAATCCCCTATTATGGGATACTACGAACACAATGACTTGAGGCTTATGTATAAAAGAAGCAAACACTCTAAAAAAGAGGCAGTCAGAAGCTAAGCAAATTATGTTAGCTAAAGTTGTCAAATTAGAGGCAGATGATAAAAGGACAGGGAATTCTGAGATATATAGAGAGCCCTCCTGGGTAAGAGATGTGTACAGAATGCTTCAGAAATAAATAGTACACATTTTACATCTAGCCAGGATACACTATGAATTGGGAAACAAAAATGCTAAAATTTTAGCCTGATTCCTTAAAAAATGAATCAGAAACAATGTTCTGAATATATTTGATGTGGCAGATACTGTGAAAAATAGGTCCAACCATATTGCTGAAACTTTGCATGATTCTATACAGGCCTGCATTCCTGAAATAATTCAAATCATTTTGCTATTTCAATATTTCTAAATAAGGTGAAACTTAAAGTCCTTAAAGCAATACAAGGGATCTGTTGAAGCAATCAGTGTCAGAAGAGGAAATTAAAACTATCTTTTAAATTAACAAATGGAAAAACACCAGTCATAAATGAGTTTATTGGGAAATTTTACAAAGCATTTGTGGAAATCTGAATACTTTATTTGAAATACCTGTTCCACAGTATCCTAGAAGGTTGTTGAATCCCTGAGTCCTGAAGGCAAACAAGAACGGTCATTACATTTAAGACAAGCAAAACTCCTGAAGTTCTGGAGTTGTATTGGCCTATTTCCCTCAGGATGACAAACTTCTCTCAGCCATCTTGATCATCAGAATTAATATGCTTATCTCTGCTTACTGTATACCGAGACAGACCAGATAAGTTTTTCTCCAAAGAGGTGTCCACATAACTCATTCTCCATATATTAAATACCATGGTAAATAAACAGAGAACCACAGAAACCATCCAATCTCTGGGAATTTTCAAAGCATTTGACAATGTAAAATACCCTCTTCTGAACAAACTCCTGGCAAAAATGAACTTTGGGGACAAAATCCTGTACCTCATAGCACACCCAGTTGCCAAGTGCAGTGTCCAGCACTAGCACCATCTCCCAACCCCCTCCTTCCAATTCTTTAATCATCCCCACTTTTGTCAAAAGGCGAATATGAACAATGTGAGGTGCGAGAAGCCAAAGGACTGTGCAGAGTACAAGACATGACAGACAACGGACAGCCAATCTCAGACTCAAGAATGGCTGACTTATTGGCTGGCCTATGCAGACTATTTGTTAGCAGACTTGCAAGAATCAAGTGCCTCAGCCTTTAACAAGATTGAAATTACTATGCCTATAGTCACCAGAGACTCCAAAAGAAACTTGGTCCAGCATTTACTTCCAAGGGCTCAGAGTGTCTTGGAAGATGATCTGAACTACTAAACTGATGAACACAACTGGAATATGGTCCAGCAGACCTTTCAGCCAAACTACAATCAAAGCAGTATATAGTTGGCATTATACTCCAGTCAAATTGCACCATACAGATACATCCTTGTCCCCACAATGCTGGAGACATTGTGGAGACATAGGGCCACTGTTTCATATGGAGGAAGATTGCCTCCGAGTTCAAACTTTCCGGGCAGTAGCTTTTGGAATAATTTCAGAAATGGTAACTGCAGGGATTGGGCTCATTCCTCTTATAAAACAACCTTGCAGAGGTTGTTGAATTGGATTCTGATGTGAAAGAGGAGCAGCAGTGGTCAGAATCGTCAAGGCCTGTGGACACAAATATAAATCAAGCAGCAGATAAGACCTGAGTAGTTTCAATTTTTGTGGGAAAGTTTAGTGAGCAAGCTGATATAGGAGCGAATGGATCCAACATCATTAGCACACTTCTATTGCATCAGGTTAAGAAGGCAGATCAGCTGAGAAGGATAAGATGCTGGAAGCAATTGTCCCTTAAGCAACAGGATCCACTTTGTCATCCTTTGGAAAGGAGGAAAGGTATTATAATGCCCTGGAATTAGCCACATTTTCATAATAGCCAATATTCTAACTTTGCTTGTTTATTTTGTTATTGATTTCTGCAGTATTCTTCTTTTTTATCACAAAGCCAGTCTTGTCATTGTTAACATAATAAACCTTTTAGTTGGAAAGTCTTTGTCCTGGTCTGTTTGAAAGGAAGAGAAGAGCTCCCAGGATAACATGTATTATTGTCCCTGATTTGCTCCAAGCATGCCTGTCCATGGTGGGCAATGTACGGGGCAATTTACCACATGGAGAGCTAAACATTGTTTTTGTTAGCGGCTGAACCTTTGGAAGTTAGCCAGCACTGAAAACTAAGTTCTGAATGTTAAACAGAGGACTGGCCCACCAAATGGCAAATTGCACTTTCATAAAGATTAACTTAGCTCAGCAGAGTGATACAAACAATTGTGAACTATGACCAATTTATGGAAATCTGGTTTCCATTTCTTACTTTCATAAACAGCAAATCATAAACCTTTGACCGTCCAAAAGTCATTAGAGAAAGATGAATAAAATACTGGAAGACAGAGGCTTAAAGCATCATCTCAATGAACATGAAACAAAAACCTAATATGAAAATATTACCATTGTTGATATTTAAAATATTTTATAGTATTGTATCGATCATGATAATCCAATGAAAACTTTTAAAAATGACTTGCAGATGTGACCAAAGTACTCTGGGAGTTTCTCAGACATTCTCACCTCAGGTGGTCTTGGTCATCTGCATCATCTTGCCAAATAGTAAGGAAGTTTTTGATTAAAAAGCTACCAATCTTGCTGAAAAAATGCATTCTTCCTCTCTGTCCTGAAGTTGGCCCTTCCCTTTTAACCCTTAGACTCCAAAACACCAGAGTCTCTTTGCAATGCAGAACATGATTGGCATTTCACAACTGTAAGACAAAACTCTAGACTCTCTAGTGCATTGGAAGATTAGCCTCTGCTCATGTCAAGAATGTTGCTGGGAACTTCTCCCCCAAATCCTTCCCTTTCAGTCATTCTGTGGGCTCCATCCTCAGAGTGGCTCCTGCTGGTGAAGGGCCAATCTGCAAAACCTACACCAGCCTTCTAATTGGGCAGCACATTCTCTCCACACTCCATCATGGAGTCAGTGACTGGGCAAGGCAACAGCTCTTCCTCCTCCCCTTCTTTGATCCCTCCCATCCCTTCCAAAATATTCCTGCTCTCCTGGTCAGCATGGGAACCTGTGGGCACCTTAAGGGTGCCTCAAGGTATTGCAGATTACATGTAGTGCTGATTGTTTACATTATCATGAGGATCTTTTCTGTAGTTCTAGTTTTTTGTTATTAAATTGTGGTAATCAATGTCAATGCACTACATACATGTTTACAAAAGCATGCATGTACAATTTTACAACATCAATGCAGTACACGTCAATATAAATGTATATAAAGTGGTTGTTTTATTGCAATTTCTGAATGTGCCATTTTAAATATGTAATTCTCCTAGGAAAACTATGCCATGATGTTGCTAGGCCTATATTTTCTAAAGATGTATCTAAAGAACCACTTAGGAATTTTATTAAACAGTATGTGTCACAAATAAATAAATGCATTAAAAACCACACACCAAAGCTCCCCAAAGTGGCACTTTACAAATTAGCAGTGCAAGCCTAGATTATGTCTACCCAAAAGTTACTCTTAGGCAAATGTGACAGCTAAGCTCTGGGAGCAGTCCCACTAAATGCAATTAAACTTACCTATGTATGAGATTTAAGTGCAATTGTGGGCATATACTAAAAGTGTAAGAAAAAAATAAAAAACTAAAGTGGTCATACTTTGGACACATAATGAGAACGAAAGATAGGTCGGAGAAGATAAAAATGCTAGGGAAAGTCAAAGGGAGAAGAGGCAAACCACTTGAGTTGGATCTATTGCATAAAGGAAACTACAGCCTCGAGCTTACAAGAGCTGATCAAGACAGACAAGGACAAGACAATGTGAAGGACACTCATTCATAGGGTTGCCATAGGTCGAAGACCACTTGATTGCACGTAGCAAGAAAAATCCTTGAAGGAAAAAACAGGTAAGTTACAACAACGTGTAAACCCAAAGCAAGACATTAGTCTCCTATTATTATCATATATATATCCACTCACACACACATGGAGTTGCAGCCTAAACCTGTTAGTACTTTGGGTGCCAGAAGACCTTGGTTTGCTCGGAATGAAAGACTAATATGGCTTCCCTCTGGCATCTTCCAGGGAAAAATTACAGGAGGGGATCCCTACCCAGGCACTTAACGACCCCCTTCCGAGACGCGAGCTGAGACAAGCAGCAAAGCTCGCGAGAGAAGAGCCAACTCCCGCGATGCGGTTTTCTGACTGAGGTGAGAGGAGGACGGTCCGCAGAGCGAGCGGGATCTGTTCTCGCGTGACGTAGTGGTTAGAGCGTTCTTCCTCGCGTGCGCTACGTGCCCGGAAGCAGCGCGAGCGGACACGCGGAGGGAGCGTAGAGTTTCGTGGCTACTGAGTGAGCAAGAAAGGGGGCAAGAGAGGTTAGGGAACGCTTCGCCCCGTGGTACGGGAGCCTGTAAGAGACAAAAAGCGAAGAGCCCCCCCCCCCCTCTCTCTCTCTCTCTCGCCAACTTTCTGGCTGGATGTGGCATAATGCCCGGCGTTGCTGTCCGTAAGAACCAGGAACGGGACCGAGACAACGCCATGGAGCCACCGACAGCTGATGTGGGTCTCTGGACGCATGGAAAAGGGGCTGGGTGGGACGGGAGCCGCATTATCGGGAGGGTGGCCAAGCATGGAGTGCGGGAGGAGGGCGGATTGCGAACTTCAGAGGCCCAGTGTCTGGTCAGAAGCCCCCGTCTCCCCCCCCCCCCGGCCACCCCCGAGCCCGCCTTCTTTCCCCGGTAACTGGCAGGACTTGAAAGGTGGCGTATTGTTCCTGTGCTCGCGCCCCTACACCACCCCGTGGTTTAATGGCACATGGTCAGACCTCCCCACTCCCACCCCCACCCCCCGCAGTTAGCGTTGCTGTCAACTTTCCTTTGAGGAGGGGAGCAGAGAGTCGTTCTCCAGGGAGGTTTTGCTTGCTCGAGAGGGACTAAGTAAATAAATGAAGTTAGCGTGGACGCACACAAATGCTCAGTAACTTTTCGTTTTACTTCTCGTGGTCCTACTGTGACTGAGCAATCAGAAACTTGTAGGGGTTTTAAACAACAGCGGCAACAACCTGTTTGCCAGAATCAATGGAGTGGGTGTGTGTACCTCAAACAGATCCTCCTTGAAAAGTTATTTAAACTGGAAAACAAGTTGGGTTACCTATTAGATGATACTTTGATTTACTGGAAGTGGAGTAGACTAAGGCACATGACCACATCTCTAAGATTATGTGTTAAAGTTTTGTCATGTTGAAGGCATGTTGTTGTCACTTCTTCCTAGTATTGCAGGCAGCAGGAATAGGTTTGAATTTAATCATTTCAGTATAGTGGATCAGCCTTGGGTTTAAAGTTCTGCAACATTCTTGCAACACTGAAACAATTAGATTAATTTATATTTTTATTCTACCATTTTCATACACCTTATATCATAAAAATAAATATAGCTACAGTTATATAGAATATTTAATTGTCTTAATTTTTGGTTTAGACAACTATCTCCTAACCAAGGCCTTGCTTAGTACAAGCTTTTCTTCAAAATTATTCCTAATAATGGTGGGTGTTCCCTGAGAATCCACTATTTTGCGACCTTTGTTAATATAAACAGGCCATACAAGCAGAACTCTGTAGATTCAAAATGGCACCTCACCCTTCAGTGAGTGAGCAGATTGAGGAATCAGGTACTCTTGTATCTTGCATTTTATTTTCGTATCTGAATTAGTGAAACTAGACTTGCCTAATACAATAATCCTATCTACTCCCCAAGTTCTGCTGGTCCTAATATTTCTGTAACGGAACAACTACTTTTTCATCATCACATTGTTTAAATGTTGGATCTGTCAGGCCTCTTATTATCCATTCTGGCTAGCAGTGACTCCTTTGGCCTCAAGAAAGCTTTCCCAAACTTGCTTCCTGAGTTGCCAAGAAAAGAAGCGAGGACTGTTTGCATGTGTTGTGTATCACTGAAGTATGTCCCTTTCTGAGAAAGTATGATTCCTGCTGTATTCCACATGAGCAAAGATGCAGTTTGAACTCATGGCACCAACTCTGTGGGTTGGCATCTTCAGGAAGAAGGATTAGATCTCATGGCCCCAGCTTGTGGGATAAGGAACTATTATGTCATCCCACTTATTTCTATTAGTTGTGGTTACTAAAACTCTAACCTACAGATGCACAAATCATATCACTCTGAGGCATAGTTCCATTTCATGGTTTTCCTCACAGTTAGCCTACAAACATTGGTTGGTAGCCACTCCCCTCACTTGTGTGGTCGTCTTCCTCCCAATTTTCACCTGGGTGTCCTTTCATACTCTATTCCCCATTTTTTCATCTGTGGAGGTAAAGATTGCCTATCTTCCTTCAATTCTCATGTACCCACAAAGTTTTGTTATTAGTTCCATATTCCATGCCTAAAATACCAGCATATTTTACCTCAAAATTCTCACTTCAAGGGAATAACCCTCACATGAGGCATTTTTAAAAATTGGAATAGGAACAACAAATAGAAACCTGGGAAATAGCAAACAACTAATAGCTATGGAAAGTGAGTGGAGCCTTCTGAAGATCTCCTGAAGGCTGGGTTGGGAAGGCTGATTTTGGGTTATGTACCCTATCTCTTTTCACTTTTAGCCTGCTATTTTCATATTTTGTTTGTAGGATATTTTCAGCCACTTTCAACCTGATAATCTGAAACACACTAGAGTAAACTGAAATGACTTGAAATATGTGTGTGGAAAATGCAGTCCTGATTCTGAGAACACTAAGTTCCCTGTATTCCCAAGGAGCACCATTTGTGCACCTGCCAGGCTGAAGCCTGACTAAATAATGAACTCTCTTTCATGGCTTGAGGTCTGCCTCTCCCAGATCAACAAAGATATTGAATGCCATAGTTCATTTTATTCTCAAAGTGTTCTGTTCTCAGAGATTTACGCTTAGTAGTTGTAGCTGAGTACATGAGCTTATATCTGTTATCACTATGGATGCATAGGAAGCATGGTGATTTCACAGTTGTCAAGATAAAATCATTCTGTGATAGAAAACAGTAGTTGGAAAGTTGATCTCTAAGCTGATGTAATTCTCAGCAGTTTTCTTCCTTGCATATGAGACTAGTGATAGGAGAAATGCTCAGTGTCAATCAGCACAATGTGCGGAATCTTACTGGCTGCATGTATTTGAAAGTGTAATGTGCTGAAAGATGCATGCATCCCAGTATATATCATGGACTGCACATCTATTTTGTACTTGGGTATGTCTGTCAGTATACCAAAAATAGAATGTGAGTTGGCCCTTCTTTGCCAATTCATGGCTATGATTTTCTCTGTAGGCTGTGTTGTATGCTATACAAACAAATTGTACACACAATTTCATATGCAGAATATTATCACCATTAAGAGCTGGATGTACTTTTCCCTCTTATATAATTGCAGCTTGATAAAAAGTCTTTTAGCGTAATGTCTTCTCCCCACTTTAGGACTTTGCGAAGGAAAGATATGGAATTTTACCGATGATACAATCGCAAGAAAAGCCAGGTCAGTTTCAAAATTCCGGAAAGTACCCAACGGCCTTTTGGGTTGTAAGTACCATAATAAGCAATATAGTGATGCTTGTTGTGTCAGGTCTAAAGTACAGATACCACTTCTAGCTCCAGGGGAGCCAGTGCCTGAAAAAATGGTAAGACACTATTCAGTCTCACAGGGACTGTGGAACTATTTTTGGCGTATGATAAATATGAGCTGAAGATTTTGTAAATGTGCTAAAATCTGAAAAGAATTGGCACATACCAAGGTAAAAGGGGTGATTCAAAAAATTAAAATAAACAAATGGCTAACTTTGGTGATCTGTTTGCTGATTTTGTTTAAAGTGTAATCCCATGTGTATCAGCTCATAGGCATTTCACTGAGTTCATTGGGACTCAGAGAAATATGCATAGGATTGCTGCCTCATTTCCCCATAATCATGAAGTAAGCATTATTTAAGATAAGCACAGACTTAAACCAATAAATGCCACTTCTCTTTTTGGGAATGCTTTGGCAGCTCACTTTGGGTAATAAAATGGTTTATATATACATCCACTGATGAAAAATCATCAATCAATCAATGCTGTCCAGAAATTTGAGTAACTTTCCCCCTTGAAATTTGTCTTTTTCCCCTCCATCTGCTGTGACATTTGCACAATGTTCTTCCTATACTGCTTTGCCTTGAAATTTCTCCAGTTTCCCTCACAATTTTACTGTTTTACCATGATATTTGCATAAGTTTAGGGATTCTAGTCACTGCTTTGTAACCCATATGTATTTCAGGAAGCCAGCAATGGGGAACAGTGGGAAAAGTGGCAATATTACTTCAGTAGAAGGTGAAGCAGCCTTTTAAAAAATGCTCCCGAGCAAAAAAGTCATTGAATTGGAGGGTGAAATGGACAAAGTGATTGACAAAAGGGAATATAAGTAAGCTTGGTGAAATAGTGGGCAGGCAGTCTTGCACAATTGTGCACAACTTAAGGGGAAAACTGTGAATGCATTCATTCATAAGGGCTCAGAAAATTATTTCAGTGCAGTACAGTAGTTGGAGAAATTTCATTTTGGAAGCATCAAAGTGGAGGATGAAACTGAGAAGGAAAAGAGGGGACTATGACTGTGCTAGATCAGCTTTCTTGTGCACTTGCATAGGATCAGAAAGTTAAATAAAAATTGCAAATATGTCTCGCATACATAACAGATCAAACTTACATTTCTTTGGTATTTTGATGGTGGGGGCTATTCCCTCTTGAGCTGGCAACTCTAGTGTGCTGATTGCAGAAAGGTTTGTGCCACAAAGGCTCCTGGGATGCATACTGGCAACAGCCGGAAGAACTGAGGAAGAGACAAGCCATGGCAAGCCACCAGGCAGGAGTCATTCCTCAGGAGTCAGGTTAAACCACTCAAAATAGCTTTTCTCAGGGTGGTTTAGTGCAGTGTGTCCTCTACCCTTTGGCAAAGAGTCAAGGTAAAACTCTTCGGTGCTCTAGAGGGCTAGCCTACCCCACCCTTTCTAGTGAGCTGATTGGATGAGTTATTCTTTGGATCTTGCTGAAGTTTAGTGAGCTTGACCTGTCCTTTTTTTTTTTTTTTTTAAAGGAATGACTATTTTTCAGTGACCTCTCTACATGATTCTTCATTGTATTGGAAGCTAGATGATTTGATTATTTAATCTCTTCTGCAAATTTGCCTACGCATGCAATGAATTTGTTCCTAAGAATTTAGTGAAGATTCTGCCATAGGTTTGCCCTTCTCCACATATAAAAGCCATAGGCTTGTCTTATGTGGGAGACATACTAAGAAAATATGTAAATACTTGCAACACTACCTCTGAGGAATATAGCTAAAAAGTGTCTCTCACAGACCTCTCAGGATAGGAGGTGCAAACACACTATTTGTGACAGTTGGGAAAAGAAAAAACTACGGTTTCAGTCAAAACAAACTCACTTCAGTCATAACCAATTAACAGTTGAAAAATTACCACGCAAGGCAGCAAAATTGCTTCACCTATTTCTGTTAAAATAACTTTCTTCAACATGTTTATCTTTAGCAATTGCTTTCTTACTTTTTATATGACCAGTCAATAGTTAAAAATAATAATTTGGAGAGAATCGGAAAATGTGAACAAATATGTTTTTCATGTGATTGTAATGAAAGCTGGGTCATTTTATATATCTATAAATATATAAAATGAATATATATATTCATGAATAACTGGAATCTAATACACATGTTGGATTATACCTTGAAAGTTAGGGATATATAAAAAGTAATACCTGTATTTGCCCTTTTTATTCACATCTGGAAAATGTTGCAGCTTTAAAATTTATGTAATTCTCTCTGAATAAGACTTGGGGAATCTGTTTCAGTTAGCAATAGCAGTGCTGAAATTTGAAATTGGATTTGAACTTCTTACATTCTTATTAACTTTTTAAATTTCCACTCTGACATAACAGTTTAGAGGAGTATTTCTTTCACTACAAGTTTATTTGTTAGCAGTGAAGTCCTTTATATGCTTACTGGCTAGTAAGTAGCATTGTGCCCAATAAAGCTTACTTTATCTATTAAAAGCATTATTGTACGCATATCTAGACAAAATAATTCTATCTGTGGAATTCTAGGAGCTATAGGAGACTTTTCTACCTAATCATGCATAGGACAGTACCCTTAGTGTTTTTAGGATTGCATCCCCAGTTACATAGACAAGATGTTTCTCCTTCGAGGAAAAGAAACCACTAACCAATCCTTACACATACAGTAACAAAATTCTGAGGTTCATATTTCTTGCATAGAACATCTTTAATATCAAGTTATCCCTTTTTAGTTTAACTGAATTTGCAGAATCTGAACATTACTTCCAAAGAGAATTCCCAGCTCAAAGTATAATATGACACTTGACAGCTGTAGATATATTAAAGTGAAAGATTCACAAAACAGACATCAGCCTGGAATAAGAGAACATTGAGGCATAGGAATAAGAAGGGATGTAAGAATAAAACTTGGTTGTCAAAAACAGCAGATCTTTATAGAAAAATCTGGTATTATTTATATACTTGTCCTGCTGAGCAAAAAGGGCTACTTTGTTAGCAGGAGTAGTTTTCAACTAACAACAGTATTAATAGTTTACAGAATTGCCAGTTTTATAACTTGCATTATCATAAATTGCATGTGTATTATGTTTCTGAATATATTAGAATGATACTATTGAAAATTATGCCAACAATTGACCTTGGAAAGTCTAGTCAAAAGAGTAATTTAGATTAGAAAACCTCATCATGTACCACAACAAGGTTAAATTATTCTAAGCAGCCAATGCAAAATAAAACTTTGATGTTCCTACATGAGAGGAAGAGAAGAATAAAGAGTGTTCTGATGGAAAAGGCCAGACCTGTTGCAAATAATAATCCCAGAAAATCTATCAAAGGAAGTAACTGTAGTGACAATAGAAACTGCATAAATGGAGGTTGCAACTCTGGCTTATATTACCATCAAGTGCAAATAGGAAGGTGCATGTCTTTCTGTAACTCTGGCAGGTAGGAGTAAAATTGAAATATATAAAATCTGGTATAAGAAATAGCTTACCTTCTTATAATTTGCTCAAATATTTCTGGAGAGGCCAGGTTCACATTTGATCCAGAATAACCTTTAGTAAGCTATCTCAGCTAACTTAAACAGGATTATGACATAGAAAATAAGAAAAAGCCCATTCTTCATGCATCTAATCAGAGCTCTGTATCATTCATTCTGTCTGCCAAAACCTCTCTGCCAATCAACTTCCTGGTGGCCACATTTTAATTATATAAACAGGTTTGTGACTATCACACTTATGGGTGTAAGTTTAATTACCTGTAACCTTGACACTCACTGCCCCACCAGTGGGAAAAGTAATGATTACATGGCAAAGACTCATATGATTTCCCTCGCCTTCATAGCTGCGGTATTCTCACACGTACAGAATTTATGTGGCATGTACATGACGGACTGTTATTCCTTATATAACAATAACATGATCAGTTAGATTTCAACCATCTGCACATATCTCTAACAGCAATTTGCCACTGATCTATCCCATCCTTAGTTTTCTGGTACTCAAGAGGAAGAGGAAATTGATTCATGATTTATTTATGTATTTATTTAAAAACATTTATATACTGTCTAATATTTCAATAAAAAAGACTTGTGTTCCTTTTTGTCATGAATGTACCTAAATAATTCTACATTACATACAGATCGTGTGTTGGTTCGAATAAAGGACTTGACAGGAGAGAAAGCTGATGAAGTCGTCTGGGTTCGTGGCAGGATTCATACCAGCAGAGCAAAAGGTAACAAAGCTTTTAAAAAGTTGTCCTAGACTGTGTGTGAACCACTTTCCTTGATGCATGTCACCATGGAGTCAAGAAACCTGAAGTTCTCTCTTCTTGCCTTGGTTCCTTCCTATATCACTCTTAATAGCAGCACAGCAGTTTTTTTCAAGAAAAACTACAGCCTTTTGTTTACGTTGCAGGTTGAGGTGTTTACATGCAAGTCAGTCCACTGGTATTATAACCACTGACTGACACAGCAGGCTAAAGGTCTTCTTGGTAAGAGGCTTGGCTGGAAATGAAATGCCAAGCAGTAGGTGAGTGTCCCTGAGTGAACATCCCAGTCTCACTGCAAGTAAATGACCCAGACTTTCCATTTCACGTGACAGCCTTAGGCACTTGCTTGTGAACATGGCATCTCATAAGTTGCACTCATAGGTAGATGCCCTATCTACAGCTTCTATCTCTGTCCCTTAGCCTAGATTTTTATGAAATAGTAGTTCATACTAGGCAGAATTGAGAAGCATTCAGTACAAATACAATAGTGAAAACTCCTATTTCTCTCTTTCATGTGGCATGAATGATACACTCTATATCATTTGTTTTGAAGCACACATACATGATATTTTTAAAATGTAGATTTATAGTATTAGCTATTCTACAAGTAAGTGGGCCTTTTAATGAGGATCATATGATTAGACACTGTTTTTAAATGACTTTAACGTACAATTTGTAAGAAATATTTAAAAACATTGCAGAATTATATCAGGCCTGCTAGAATTTCTTTTTTCAAGTTTGGATAATCAGAATATGGCAAGTTTTTGTTTCATCATATTTTATAAAGGAAATGGAAAACCCTGGAACCAATTGGGCTTTCATGTTTCCACAAATGAACTACAACCCATATTTTAAATCTCCTCTTACATTGGCCTCAAAGGAGACCTCTGATGTTGAGCGCTAGAGCATGCCTTATTCGTACAGAACCACCTGCCTGTCATTTTTCTTCATTGTGGAAGTGCAACTTTCATTGGAGATCCATTTCCAGTGCCTAAGTTTAAATGTTTTGACCTCTTCCAGTAACATCAAAGGCTAACAGCTGTTCTGTTGGTTAGAACTTTACTTGCCTCACAGACAAGATGTAGTATATATATATATATATATATAAAATTGGTCAGAGTTCAGGTCAAAGGCTGAAACAAAATGGTGTGGACTAGCTGTGGCTTGTGCTGGCTGCCTCCACTTCCAAATTTAGGTTCTTATAGAAGGAAGAACTGGCCATAATGATAGACGTCTGTTTCGTGACAATTAACAAACCTGTGTTAAGTTTTCCCTCCTGTGTTTGTTATACGTAGTTATGAAAATACATAATGCAACATTGCCACATAGTGTACTTCTGCCTTGTGGTAGCCAAGGTAAGGAGAATCGTGGTAATGCCAAGACTGTGTTCTCTATAATTAATGCAAAGAAAGCATTCAACATGTTTTTAGGAATTGGATATGAAATGACTATTTACAGTAGCTAACTTGTGTTTCTGTTTAGTATAATTTGCCTTCAGCAATGTACTTGATTGTTAACCTGATGCTGCTGATGTGGAAGAGCGGACTTGATCAGAAAGTGTATAGTCATTTTTAACTTACTAATTGTCACGTGTGTGTGTGTGCATGCATGTGTACATGATATTCAAAGTTGTAGCAGATTTGAACATCAAGTGCACTAGTAGATGTGAGAATCATGCATTCCTATATCTTCCCACTGAAATGTAACATGCAGATATGTACTCTGAAATAAATTCTTGGAGTGCACGGATTAGACCCTGAGTAGGACAGTGTACCATCTATATGTTACAGAGGCTTAAGCACTTCCTCCTTTTGCCATTTGTTTAGTTAATGTGACTGTGGGTAAGTCTGTCATTGATTGTTAGCTGTGATAATTCTGTGGAGCCAAGTTGAGATTCAGCAGCATGACACTGTGGACTGACATGTGTTGTCCGAACAGAGGTGGCTAAAGGCTGTTCTCCTGCTTGTGGGCTTATAGAAGGATCTGGTTGATCTCTGTTGGAATAAAAATACTGGATTAGATTGACAAATACTGGATTAGATTGAGTTGGTGTAACATTCTTGGCCACTGTGTAGGCTGGTGTCTTTTTGAGCTGAACCAAATCTATATAGAATTATCAACAGGTGGCAAGGCAGCTGGAGGATGTAAAATTTCTCTTCTTTATGCTAGCAGAATACTTTGGTCCAAACCGCTAACTGGTAGGAACCAAAGCTTTCAGAGTGGGACCAGATTTATTTAATTCAACATAGGTAATTAGCCATGGAGTGCTGTTGTGCCATCCAAACCCAGACAACTGCCCTTGGGGGTAGGGACTTATTTTTTAGGAACAAGATATAGGTATTCTTG